ATTTTTACAAGATGTTCTAAATAGTCAAAATACTTTACAGAATATTTTGAAGTAATCTGTGGTATAGATTATAGTTACCATCTAATCCACTGAAAATTACTTTCGATATTTATGAAATAATTAAAAAAAATTAAGAGCAAAAAAATGGCTAAGAAAATTATGATCCCAGAAATTACTTCTTGAAAACTAATATGAAAAGAAGGGAAACAATAAATTACTATGTGGGGCATAGTTGGATAAATCACTTGAACCAATATACAGAGTTGTAAAGGCAATAAAAATTATAATGAGGAAAAAAAATTGGGATTCAGAGCATAATAATCTTAGAAAAATCTGTTGAGAAAAATTAATCATTAAAAATTTTTTTTTTTAAGAACGGTTAGATATGTGGACTTTTAAAGTCTATGACTTACTGTTTTGATTCACTGTGACAAACTTCCAAGGTTGGATCATTATAAATAAAAGCAGCCTCTAAATCGTTGATCCTTACTCGGTATATTCTACACTGTTTGCTGTTCAATTTGATTCTATTCAAGTTTGCAACTGTGGGAAATATAGTCAGTTCCACAAATCCCTGTAAAGATAAAAAAAATAACAATTTCATTATAAAGACTGATATTAGCACATATTTCTCCCAGCCAAGTACCAACTAGGCCTGACCCTGCTTAGTTTCCAAGATCAGACGAGATCTTGGGCGTGTTCAGGGTGGTATAGTCGTAGACAAAACATATTTCTTTGATTTCTACTACATATACACATTATACTCCAGAAACAAAAGCCCAAATAGCTACATACACACATGTGCTCTCCAACTATCTTAATTTCAAACATGGTTGTCCTAGTGACTGAACGGGTATGAGTTTTGAATACGTTATCACTCTAGTGTTTCACTATCAGTGAAAATTAGACCACCTATCAGGAACAAAAGTAAAAAGACTCATTAATCTCGAAGACAGTAAGTTCTAGACAGACTGGAAACCAAAAAGGGAAGAAGAAAAAAATGACAGAGCAAAAAGAGAATCAAACCCACAAGAGGCTGGTGAGTAAAAGAACATGGCAGAAAAATATCAGACAAAAAAACTACACCACTGTGGACAGATTATCCAGACACAAAATCAACAGAGAAATATTGGACTTCATCCGCACTATAGACCAAACAGACCTAATAGATATCCACAGAATATTGCATCCAACAGCTGCAGAATACACATTCTTCTCCTTAGCACATGGATCATTCCCAAAGATAGACATGTGAGGCCACGACACAAGTGTTAAAAATTAAAAAAAAAACCTGAAATCATATCCAGTATTTTCTCTGACCACAATAAAATAAAACTAGAAATCAATAACAAGAAGAACACTGGGAACTATATAAACACATGGAAATTAAACAATGTGTTCCTGAACAGCCAGTGGGTCTAAGAGGTTAAGAAGAAAATTTAAAAATTTCTTGAAACAAATGAAAATGAAAACACAGCATACCAAAACCTATGGGATACAGAAAAAGCACTGTTAAGAGGAAAGTTTATAGCAATAAGTGCTTACATCAAAAAAGTAGAAAAACTTCAAATAAATAATCTAATGATGCATCTGAAAGAACCAGAACTGAATGAGGAAAAACAAAGCCTTTCCTCTATGATCGGGAAAAAGACAAGGATGCTCACTTTCACCACTGTTATACTAAATAGCACTGCAAGTTCTAGCTAGAGCAATCGCATAAGAGAAAGAAAGAAAAAGGCATCCAAATTGGAAAGGAAGAAGTCAAATTATCCTTGTTTGTGGACAATATGATCTTACAGCTAGAGAAACCTAAAGACTCCTTGCACAACCCAAGTGCCCGTCAATCCATGAGTGGATTATTAAAATTTGGTATATGTTTACAATGGAATATTACTCAATTATAAGAAACGACAGTGATCTAGCATCTCTTATACTTTCCTGGATTAAACTTAAGCCCATTATCCAAAGTGGGGCACCAAAAGAGCAGAAGAGCGGGATCCATTTGTACTCACCTTCAAATTGGTACTAACTGATCAACACTAGGTTGATCACATGGCAGAAATACTCTCTAGGAATTAGGGGGATGGGGGGGCAAATCTACAACTAAAGGACACGGGGAGCACTAAAGGGAGGGAAGGGCATGCCTTTAACCTGCATTTGGGTGAGGCAAAGACATAAAGTGTAACTATAATGTTTGTACCCTCACAAAACCCTGGAATAATAAATAAATAAATAAAGACTCCACGCAAAAGCTATTAGAACTGAAAAACAAATTCAGTAAAATTACAGGATACAAAATCAACATATGAAAATCAGCAGTCATTTCTATATGTCAACAGCAAACAATCTGAAAAAGAAACCAAGAACATAATCCCATTTACAATAGCTACAAATAAAATAAAATACCTAGGACTAAACTTAACCAAAAAAGTGAAAGATCTCTACAACGAAAACCATAAAACACTGATGAAAGAAACTGAAGAGGACACAAAAAAATGGAAAGACATTCCATGCTCATGCATTGGAAGAATTAACATTGTTAAAATGTTCATACTACCCAAAGCAATCTACAGATTCAATGCAATCGCCATCAAAATACCAATGACATTCTTCACAGAAATAGAAAAAATAATCCTAAAATTTACATGGAACCACAAAAGACCTGGAAGAGCCAAAGCCATTCTGAGCAAAAAGAACAAAACCAGAAGAATCACATTTTCTGACTTCAAATTATACTACTACTGTAGTAAACAAGACAACATGGTACTGACATAAAAACAGACCCATAGACCAATGGAAACAGAATAGAGAACCCAGAAATAAATCCACACATCTACAGTCAACTCATTTTCAACAAAGGTGCCAAAAACATACATTGCGGAAAGGACAGTTTCTTCAACGAATGGTGTTGGGAAAACTGGATTATCTACCTGCAGAAGAATGAAACTAGACCTCTATCTCTAGTCATATACAAAAATCAAATCAAAATGGATTAAAGACTTAAATCTAAGATACAAAACTATGAAATTACTTAAAGAAAACATTGGGGAAACACTCCAAGACATTGGTCTGGGCAATGATTTCTTGAGTAATAAAAAAAAAAAAGTACAGGCAACCACAGCAAAATTGGACAAAGGGATCACATCGAGCTCTAATAAAAAGCTTCTACACAGCAAGGAAAACAATCAACGAAGTGAAAACAATCAACAAATGAAGGATTGTGAAGACACAATCCACATAATGGGAAAAAATATTTGCAAACTACCCATCTGACAAGCAATTAACAACTGGAATATATAAAGAGTTCAAACACCTCAATAGGAAAAAATTAAATAATCCAATTAAACATGGACAAAGGATCTGAATAGACATTTCTCAAAAGAAGACATGCAAATAACCAACAGCTGTACGAAAAAATGCTCAACGTCATTAAGCATCAGAGTATGCAAATCAAAACTACAATAAGATATCATCTCATCCTACTAAAATGTTTTTTATCAAAAAGACAGGTAATAATGAATGCTGGCGAGGATGTGAAGAGAACCCTCATACACTATTGGTGTGGATGTAAATTAGTGCAACCACCATGAGAACAGTATGGAGGTTTCTCAAAAAACTAAAAATAGCACTACCATATGACCCAGCAATCCCACTCCTGGGTATATATCCAAAAGAAGGGCAATCAGTGTATCAAAAAGATATCTGCACTACCATGTTTACTGCAGCACTATTCACAATAGCCAAGATTTGGAAAGCAACCTAAGTCCTTCAACAGACGAATGGATAAAGAAAATGTGGTAAATATACACAATGGAATATTATTCAGCCATAAAAAAAAGAATGAAATTTTATCACTTGCAACAACATAGATGGAAGTAGAGGACATTATGTTAAGTTAAATAAGCCAAGCACAGAAAGACAAATTCTGTATGTTCTCACTCATACGTGGTAATCAAATATTACAACTGATCTCATGGAGACAGAGAGTAGAATGATAGTTACCAGAAGCTAGGAAGGATAATGGGGAGGAGGGGATAAAGTGGGAATAGTTAATTAGTACAAAAACATAGATAGAATGAACAATATTTGATAGCACAACGAAGTGCTCTAGTCAACAATGTTATGGTATACTATAAAATAACTAAAACAGTGGAACTGGAATGTTCCTAACACAAAGAAATGACAAATGCTTGACAAGATGGATACTCCAATTACCCTGACTTGACTGTTACACATTGGATGCCTGTAACAAAACATCACATGTACCCTATAAATTATCAAGTACCCATAATAATTACAAAATAAAATTTAAAATTAAAAAAAAAAACCTACACCACTGAAACTAACAAGTATGAGTCTTTACTCACAGGAGGTAAATTAGGATATGTGAAATGGCAAGAGCTGTAAGAGGTTCTCAGGCAAGTAGGGAAAATCTATTACTGCATCCAGGAGCAGCAGATATTTCAAAGTGCTGGGTGATTTCCTAACAAGTAGTCTAGAGTCCATATATAGTTCTACGACGTTAGCTGTATAGTGTAAAATCTATCTGAAATATGTACCTAAGACATGAAAGACAGTTAAATACACTGACCACTCACCACCCTCTTGTGTTGAATCAATGGGAGAGAGAAACAGACGAAACACAGAATATACATTCAATGATTTCAATAACCTGGGTTGAAAACTGATGTACTCAAACACTAAATACAGGAAGGCATGAAACAGTAACATTTTAGAAGCTGCAAAGTGAATAGAAAAATTTCAGAGGCTGCAACAGGAATATCTAAGATGAAAAATACAGGCAATAACCATAGAGAACTAGATTATAATGGCTACCACCATAAGCCAGACAGGATACTACATACTTTCATTATGTTCTCTCTAATCCTAATGCCAACTCTAAGAGATAAGTACTACTTCACACTTTTTATAGAGAGGTTCTAAGAGATAAGTACCACTGTAAAGCATAAAAAAAAAGTTAACTTTTTATAGATAAGTTAGCAAAGTCAAGAAAATTGCATCATTAATAAGTGGAGAATGGAGATTTAAACACACCTAAGTGATCCCAAATGACTCCCATTATGCCGTAATGCTTCTGAGTAACAAGGGTTTTAAATATGTAAGAATTGTTTTTAGATAACATGCAGCCCAGCTATTCAAAATTCTGCAGCTCCCAATTCCCAAATAAGTGACCCATACATCCTTAAATTTGACCACCTGCACAGATCTCTGTGGTATCAATACAGAGAACAGAAAGAGCAAAGGCCAAGATACTATTGATAAAGGCTCTGAGTTTAAAGGTGTAAACTCTGAGCAATTACAGGAAGGATCAAAATTCCCTTTAATTAGCATATCAGTCATCCAATTACCATTCTAAATTTAAAGGAGTTTGGATCAACTGAAGGACAAGTAGAACCAACATTTTAGTAAGTGCTGTCAATAGTCAGCTCCTGAGCGGGACATAACAATGGGATTTGGCTTTCTTTTTTCTTTTTGAGACAAAGTCTCACTCTGTTGCCCTGGCTAGA